ATGTATTGCTCGTTATGTATTGTTAGTGCGACGTAGGCATAGGCGCAAATGTTAACATTTACACCGAAATCAACGCTAGAGTCGACATAGCAGCTGTCACTATTGTGATTACCGTTGGAGTGACTCCCAATCCACTGCTCTCTGAAACGAACAACATGTTTGTAAATTAAAACTGATTGCCTGTGTGAGTTTAATCGAACTATATTTTAAAGAGCCTCATCAAATGGTGGCGAGAGTCCTCATTTAAATATCGTTAAAAGTGTTTTTACTCGATTCCCCGCAAGTTATCAAATCACGAAGAAATTAAACTATCACAGGGAATAATGCACCCTCCTCACCAACTCACGCTGTCACAAAACAGTTTCTCGCTCGTTTGCTTAAAGGAAAACGTATAAAGCTTCGCCTGTATCATTGTGGGCGCTTTAGTGGATGATCATATACCTGATTCATGCTGCAGAAATGGTACGACGTCGTTCCATAAGGTACATTCACGCAGGCGGGGACCGCGTCCCCAAGCATTCCTCTTAGTGCTTAGCTCCTTATAGTAGCGTTTAGGCCCATCCGTCCCCTCATTAACCTTAAATGCCAGCCACTGCTCGTCAACTTGGCTAGGCTTGTTTGGATTTCTGTCACAAAAATATATGATTATAAACACGTCATGGTTCATATCCAATCGAAACAACCCCAAAGGTACAGCGAAACTTAATTATTGCAATTCGTTTCCATACTTGAAAATCGACATCTGGTTTGACGAAGATAAAAAATTGCCTAAGCGAATTAATGAGTTTAGGGAGCAGCGAGGCCAGCTTGGCACGCGCCTTCAAGCTATCGGTCCATCGCTAACGAACAGAACGAGTAGCTGAAAACTCAGGTGGACTTCCATTCCAGAGTTCACCGCAGAAGGTTGCACAAAAGAAAAAAAGAAATCTTCTGCCGTGACATGGCTACAGAGTAGCTATGCCGTGACCATGATTCGAACCTGGGTTATTGCGGCCATAACGCAAGGTAATAACCACTATGCGATAACAGCTACTGCGCCAGAGATAACTAGCTATACTCGTTTGTCTGCCTTAACCCATATTTTAAGTGCTATTCGCGAGTAAAATAAAAATAAAAATATATTGGGCAAAATATAACCTAGTCACAATTTAACGGCATGTTTACCAAATTTGAGCGTAACAGTTCATATGTTAAAGCGCAAGCGATATACCTAGAACATCTACTACGAAACTCTACTGCAACTAGGGAGAAATTTACTGAGTCCAATTGCATTTACCTATAGATGTTATCTGTAATAAGTGCTGATGATTATGGATTTAACCACTTAAGACAATAATGTACACGACAAATTATGTTTGTTAACCTTGATGGTCAGCCATTTATTCCAAGAGGCTCTTCCTACAATGCAACTGTTTGAACATAACAATTAGAGCAATCATTGTGTGATAGCAGAATACTACATCTCTCCTTTTCTCGGATAAGAAAGACTATATGTGCCGCATATAGATCTTAGAGGCATAATCAAACATAATTACCGTTCCGGTATAAAAACAAACTGTGATCTAACAGTCACACGACAGGTGTCCATAACAACTGTTACAACAGCGCGTGGTACACTTTAAGCACAACAGTCTCTGCGCAATTTACTCTGATCAGTCTCAGCAAACTCTGACTTTGTAACACAAAGTAATTAAACGTAAACACAAGATATCTTCTTGTTAGTCATTCTGTGACATGCTCTGACTATAGGTAGCGCGACGCGTAACATGTCAATACACACAATTTGTGTAATGGAATACAATAGTTACTTGCATGCATAAAATACATACTATAAACATTTTGAGTAAACAATAGTGATAGACTGTAGGTAGACTGCCTAAGTCTAAGCTTTGCTCAGGGATTATTCTGCCCGTGACACGAGTCAAAGCTGTGATTGCGGTTAGTTTAATTGCCACTGGCCGGTAGCACTTATCACATGGACAGTCAAATGTCACTGGGGGACAGCACAGCAGACACCCACTCTCCATAGCGGTCTGGAGCCTTTCGTTGCCTGGATGGTCGGCCTTGTTCCCCGTCGGCTTCCGTCGGGTAATAACGTTGCGGTAGGAACGAGGGGTTGGCCTCGATACCGGGACGAATTTCTTACACCTCTGTGATTGTTTCGTTTGATCACGTTTTGTGGTGACTCGAAGCTCTACATCAACGCTGTTGTGCCCTTTTTTTCCGACAACGCTGTACTGGTCGGGTTTGAAGTTCTGTGGTAAGTTTATCGGACTTTCCTTTCTGCCTGACCACACTGAGACGCTGAGAGGTGGAACGAAAAGGGCAGGGGAGAGGTCGGTGTCACCGGTGCTATGTCGCTCATGGTCGACCTATGCGTTTCTCTGCGTTCGGAAGACCTCGCGTAGATTTTGCCTCCAATCTTGTTTTCTCCCAGTCTCTGGTCCTCCTTTTCCCCGTCGTAGCCGGCACGAAAGATGACGGAGTCTTGGAAGTATTTTAGTACGCGAATTGCTCTGCCGAAACGAACACTTTGAAGTCGCCTGCAGGTGTTCGCAAGTAACCAGCTGGGCGGAGTCGTGCGAATAAGATCGAGGTATGTCTAGCTCCGTTCGTCAGTTTTCGCCTTCAGCGTGGGCGCGCCATCTTCCATGCGTTTCAATATGGAGGGCGGTATTTGGCATTCGCACTGTCACGCATTTCGCCTGTGCCCACAATGGCGGTGGACCTTTCGATGGATTATGTTTGTTCCTCTGACAAGAATTCAACGGGAATGTTCTGCTCTAACCTGTTGTCCGTTGTCGCTGTGATGGTGACGTAGTGGCGTGACTTCAAACATCTACTTAACAGCTCGATGCAGCGCTTCGGCGTCACTGATGTCGTGGATCTGCCGCTTGCAATAGTATCTGGAGTAGTAATCTACGAGAACAATATTATTCTCCTGCGGCATCGGTCCTAGTCCGGTCGATGGCTAAGTCTTGCCACTTTCGCGAGGCAGTTCGGTGCAATACTGGTTCGGTGGTGTCGGTCTAGCCACTAGCTGAAATCACTGTCAGCTCGACAAATTTCTCTACATCCTTGTCGAGACCTGGCCACGCACACTTTTTGTGCGAAGGCGAAGTTTTGTGCCGCACATCCCCACATGACCTTCATGAGGGCAATGGGCAGTGAACCTTTTGACGGCAACTCTACGGAAGTTACGCAATTGGTCCCTCGCATCAGCGATTTTTACCAATAGTGGCACAGTTCCTCACACACAGGTAAATATGTTGGCCCAAGTGGCGGGTTTCCCACTCGCCCGTCTCCGGATGGCATTTTCGACATGTGTCAGTTCGATGTCTGGTGTGAGCACTTCACGCCCTTCTCGTGTGTCAATGAGCGCTGGGAGTTGCTTCGTGCGACGATTGGGATGAGTATTGGCGACCAAAAACCGTAATTGTAAAAAGCAATATATTGGGGCGGCAATACGACAAAACCGTATTGCAATATTTTCCAATACGGTATTTGGGAAGTGTATACACATGCATGATATAGTAACCATTTGATGGTTTTAATATCATCATATAGTTGTATTATAGACATGAATTATAATTTCTCATGTTTTTTACTGAGAAACAGAAGCACGGCAATGTTTTCCGCTGACAGTGCAGCCTCTGTGCCAAAACAATGTCACCGCTGTAAGCTGAATACGCACTCTGCGAAGGCACTGACGTAGCTGGAACTACACAAATACCGCCTGCTCATAATTGCTAATACTGGATACTGAAACTGAAACTGAAACTGAAACAGTGGGTGCTCGCTTCAGCTTGTATCGCGCGCGCGCGGGCACTCACTCAGGTGAGCTTAGGCTACACATAGACTCCCTAGTTGCCGTGCTCTCTGCCTCGCGCACACGTCTGCCCCACTCTGCCCGCGCAGTAGTACCGCGCAGTGCTCCATGCAGTGGTCGCTTACCAGTAATACTGTATGCGTCGTGCAGGCATTGTGCTTTCGTAATATATACACCGCCAGTGCATAATTTTCGAGCCCATTAACAATATAGACATAAAGGCAAGTGTCAAGTAATTTATTTCTTGTTATACGACCGTATCGTAAAATATCGATATCCGGAATTTATACCGCGATATATCGAGTTTTCAAAATATATTGCAATATATAGATATACCGGTATATCGTTACACCTCTACAACTAATCTTACATATTCTTCCGCCTTTTTCCACAGGTTTGCGTCGGGTGCCTCATCTGTTTTCAACAGACGCGAAAGCGGGTACGCTATTATCTTAGTTCCGGCCACGTGTACAACTCGGAACTCATACGGTTGTAGACAGAGGACCCATCTCTCGATCCAAGCACATGGTATTTGACTTTGGCGAGTAGATTACCTCTAACCGCTTGTGGTCCGTCACCAAGTCGAATTTCACACCATAAACGTATGAATGAAATTTCTCGCACGCCCATACAAGGGCCAGAGCTACTCGCTCTGTCTGTGAATAGCGTCTCTCCACTGCACTCAGACTACGGCTTGCGTATGCAATGACAATTGGCTCTCCCCTTTGGTCTTGCACTACGACAGCTCCCAATCCATATGGGCTGGCGTCAGCTATAACTTTTGTCTTTGCATGTACGTCGAAGTACCCAGAGTCTCGGCATTGCTCAAGTGTGTTTTCAGAGCTTGGAATGACTGTCTCTGTTCCTCGCCAAACACAAATGGTTCACGATTCCGAGTCAGTCTACGCAGTGGTTCGGCAGCCGTCGCGAAGTTAGGTATATACCTGGCCCTGTAGTT